CTTGCAATTGTGCTATCAAGGATTGCGTGCTTCAGATATTCCACCAGTGATATTTGAATTTCAAAATGCAAAGTTGGAGTTGGAGGCGTTAAATAATTTTGTTAATATCGGAAATGACGTTATTTGCCTTGCTTTTGCTCCAGCAAAACATTTGCCTATATTTGGGAATATAGCACAAACAAATTTCTTTGTTGCCTATGATCTTGACAACAAGACTGTTTCTTTTAAACCCCAAATTTGTGCCAAATTGTAGCAAGGTTTATATGTATCATCATGTGGAATGTTCGATATTTATATGATTATATCTATCTAAAAGTATGTTATTGGACTCTTCAATTTTCAAACACACACATAAATCATATTCCCTCGGTTCCTTTTTACTTCTCCAGTTTTACTTGTCATTTTTGATAAATCAAGAAAGAACAATTTTTTTTTATCTATTATACCCTCAATTTATTAATCTCTTTGAATAATGTAGTAAGTAAAGATATTTGAAATCCTATCAATAAATAGGGGTAAAATGATAAACTCACTATATCAATCAATATTTTCTTAATAAGTGTGTCAAGTCAAAATTTGACAAGTAAAAGGGGACAAAGGGAGTATTTTTTTAAGACATTGTGTTTATTTTATTCAAAGGGTGATATAGTAAAATTACTCCCCTATTTATAGTTTCTTAAGAAGTGTGCAAAACTAATAATGAATAAATATTATCGAACAGATGCGTAACAAGAAGTCAACAACAATAACTTGGGTAATTACTCCCCCAAAAGGGAAAAGTACACAAACATACTACTTCATATAAGCAAATTAATTACATTAATTGACTCACTCATTGATTCTTGATTAATTTAGCAAACACACACTCGGCCCAAAGTAATTACTAGGCCTGCTCATGCCTTCTTTTTCCACGCATGAGGTCAACATGATCATAATTACAAATTAATCTTCTATGATATTTTGTCAATATAATGATGTGTTAAACTTTGAAATTGGATGATCAAGCTTTATCGAGAGCTTGAGATTCATCCATGGTTGTTTCTCTTCTGTTGTTGCATTAGGAACGAAGAAGAGAGAAAAAGGAACTGTAAAGCATTGTTTGTGAGAATGTAAAAACTAATTCATTCCATCTGTAAGTGTACATTTATAGTAGACGAATGGAATATATCTAACAAACTACTGTGACTAATCTACAGCTATCAATTAACTAACTAAGTAACCGACTTAATCAACAGTAAGCTAGACTAATGCACTGTACAACATAAATATACAACACACTACATATTACATATCTCAATATGATGTATATGATATATATCATGTGGATATTATAGATGACTGGACAATCATTTTATGAATGAATACCATATGTGTATACGATATATACCATGTGAGATATCATAGAAAATTGAGTATTGTTTTTTTTGAAGGAATGCATATGACACATGATGTACTTTGTCAATATAATGATGTATCTTGTCTATATATGATATACTATGTGGTTTTCACCGAGTAGTAGTATTTTTTTTTTGAAGAAATAAACCATTTTCTTATGATATTATGTTAATATACTAAGGGGAAATGGTTTGATATACTCCTCAACTTTGCTATTTAAAGCTGATATATTCCTCGATATGAAAGTGGCTCATATATACTCCTATGCAGGGGCGGAGCCAGCATATTATTAGGGGGTTCATCTGAACCTCCTTCGGCGGAAAATATTACTATTTATACATGGTTAAAATTATTTTTTATGTATATATCGTATATGTCGAACCCCGGCCAAGTTCTTGTGTTTACTTCTTCAGTTTTTGAAACCCCTTGTTAAAAATCCTAGCTCTGCCACTGCTCATATGGTTATACAAATGACTCACATATACTCTTTTCCTCTAATGGAAGAAACAAATTAATTTTAAATTAATTTTCTTTGAAAAAATATAATTCCATATGGGGGTATATATATTTGATCCCCTCATACTTATTTTTTTTCACTTTTTGTTTTAATGATTAATTTAAATTTATTATTTTGATGGTCAAATTTATTTATGTTCACTAAATTTCTTGTAAAATTTATTATAGATGTCCCAATTTTTTTTTTTACAAATACAAAAACTAAAATACAATATAGCCACCAAAAAATAGTTTTAAATTATAATATAATCACAAAAAATTAGTTTGAGTTTTTTTTCTTTACACTAAATAATGGGGGGTTTCAAAGAGTGTTGATAGCCCCTGGAACAAAGAGCCTGAGTAAGCTTATCATACCATTGCATGTTGGCCTGCTTCAAACCATACAATGACTTTCTTAACTTGCAGACCAGATTAGGATTACTGAGAACCAGACCTGGTGGAGGCTGCATGAAAACTTCCTCATGGAGATCTCCATGAAGGAAAGCATTATTGACATCTAATTGGTAAATATTCCAGCCTTTCTTAGCTGCAGTGGCAATTAAGGCCCTCATAGTGGTCATTTAATGACAGGGGAGAAGGTTTCAGTATAGTCAATGCCAAGTTGTTGAGTATATCCCTTCACCACCAGCCTAGCTTTGAACCTTTCAATACTACCATCTGCTTTGTGCTTCACTTTGTACACCCACTTATACCCAATGGCTTGCTTATGTGGTGGTAGAGGGATTAGATCCCAAGTATGATTGGCATGTAAGGCATTAAACTCTTGAGTCATAGCCTTTTGCCAAGCAGGATTGATGGCAGCCTCTCCATAAGAAGAAGACTCATTGTCATGACAAATACTCTCAACAAGATTCTGACTATGATGGTTCAATGAGTCAGGTGCAATGTGTTGGTGTAATGAAAATAAAGCATTGAGGGAATGAGATGTAGGCTTCAAGGAGTGGACATAGTCATTGAGGTGGACAGGGACCTTAGATGTCCTAGTAGACCTTCTTACCACAAGAGCATGAGTGGTAGGTGATGGAGTGGAAACATGTATTACAGGTTCAGAAGGGTCTATGGGCAAACTATTAGGACTAACAACTGGAGAGTTATTATGTGGTGGATAGTTATTATGTAGTGATATGGGAGACATCTGAATGGCAGTGTTGGGATGACAACTTGTATTAGTTGACACATAGTGCATATGCTCCTCATTACAATTATTATTGGAGTAAAAAACAACATCAGGAATATGTCTACATGAATCAGTAAAAGAAGGCAGTTTAAAATGAAATATGCTCTCATGAAAAACAACATCTCTAGATATATGTATCTTCTTAGTGGCTAAACTTAGGACCTTGTACCCCTTGGTTCCAAAAGGGTATCCAACAAACACATGGGGAGTAGTTCTAGGGTCAAATTTATGATTGAGATTTTTTGGAGTAATGGGGTAGCATAGGCAACCAAACACTTTCATGTGGGAATAGTCTGGTTTTTTTTTTCTGTAAGAGTTGAAAAAGTCATTTGTCTTTGAAATGGGTTGTGGGGGGTCTATTTATTATATAGGTTGCTGTGAGTAGACATTCTCCCCAATATTTAATTGGAAGTTGGGATTGGAACAGGAGTGCTCTGGCAGTCTCCAAGAGGTATTTGTGTTTTCTTTCAACAACACCATTTTGTTGTGCTGTGTATGGGCAACTCTTTTGGTGGATAATGCCTTTGGACTGAAAAAACTGATTAGATTCTGTGTTTGTGAACTCCAGACCATTGTCTGATCTAATGATTTTAATGTGAGTATTGAATTGGTTTTCAACTAAAGTGACAAAGGCTTTAATGACTTGTAGTGCATTACTTTTGCATGATAACAGATGTGTCCACGTGCATTTGCTGTAATCATCCACCATGGTAAGAAAGTATTTATACTTATCATATGGACCCCATAGGTCAATGTGAAGTAGTTCAAAGATTTGTTTGGTAAAAGTGATCTTTTCAGGAAAGGGTAGCCTTGTTTATCTAGCCATAGGGCAGATGTTACATAAAAAAGGCTGTTTTGAAGAAAAATGGGCAAGTATTGATGAAATACCCTTCATTTTGCCAAAAGGAACATGTCCAAGTCTGTTGTGCCACATCAAATCTACATTATCTTTATGAAAAACAGAAGAAACAGGAAAAGATTGTACTTTATTGATATTCAAAGTAAAGAATGAAGAATTACAATGTTTGTCATTGCAAGGATTACTAGTAAAAACAGAAGATAAAGGTAAACTAGAGGCACTGAGCTGCCTTTTTTCAGAACTAATATTAATGACAGTAGTAGAACATACAAAGTTCTTCAAGCAATGAGAGCATAGGAGGTAAAAGCCATTTTCTACTTCACCAATCTCCAGAGGCCTCTTCATTGAAGGGCCTGCAGAAGACATATTTTATTAGTAAAGGAAATGATGCTTTTAGGATTTAAAGTCAAACAATGTACAGAGATTAGATTGTATTTGAAAGAAGGAGCATATAAAACTTTGTGTAAAGTAATTTCAGATGTCAAATGAACACTACCAATTTCAGTTACTTTGACCTTATAACCATTCGGAAGACTCACTAGGACAGGATAGGGTAGTTGTTTAATATTGGTTAGATGAGATCTATGGAAAGTCATGTGGTTAGATGCACCTGAATCTATGATCTATATGTCTTCTCTTGCTTTTGAACATTTGCATGACAATTTACCAAATTCAATAGAAAAGATTCTGTTAGAACAAACTACAATACCTGCAAAATTTACAGATTCATTGGCAATGTTGTTGTCTGATGATTCTCCTGTGTTTGTAGGATGAAAATGTTGTAGAAGGTTCACCAAGTGTGCATACTGGTCCTTAGAAATGCTTAGCTGTTGCTTTTCCTCTTTCATATCACCTCTAGTAGACAACATGTCTGCAGAAGGTCCTTGAGCATGTGCCATTTTCTTTCCTTTTCAATCAGAATTGTTGTTGTTGTTGTTCCTGAAATTCTGATTCTGATAATTCTGATTGTTTTGGGGGTAACCATGAAGTTTATAGCATTTTTCCTTAGTGTGACCTGGTTTCTTACAGAATTCACATATAACCTTATGTTTGTTAGAGGATTTGAAGAATAATTGGTTCTAAAACCACTTCCACCCCAGATGCATCATAACTTGGCCTAGAAACAGTACCATTGTTTGCATTATATCCCCCAGATCTTGAAACACTAGCACTAAGAGATGTGGAGGCAGTGCCTAGTTGGTTACCAGGTCTGATTTCTCTTTGCCTTTCATCCTGGACCAGCAATGAAAAGGTTTGTGGCAAAGAGGGTAATGGATTCATCATCAAAATGTTGCCTCGTACTGCAGTGTATACTTCATTTACCCCATTAAGAATTGTATAAGTCTCCTGTCATGTTCTCCTTTGTGTACACTCTCCTTCGCACCACAAGTACAAGCACAATCACACTGTGTTTTCACATTTAAGTTACTCAACTCTTCCTATAGTTTCTTCATTTTTGTATAATAACCAGTTATGTCCAAAATTCCCTGTGACAAATCATTGATTTCCTTTTGAATTTGATATAGCTTCGCACCATTGGTTTGATCATATCGATCCTTCAATTCCCTCCAGAGTTCAGCTGCATCGTTCACATATTCGACACTATCAACAATCTATTTGCCTAAAGAGTTTAGAATCCAAGATGTGACCATATCGTACCATCTCTCCCACAAATGAAAATTTGGGGAATTACTGGTCGGCTTCTCGCACTTGCCATTGATGAATCCAAGCTTGTTCTTTACTGACAAAGAACGTAGTACACCTCTTCTCCATGATCTATAACCAGTTCCATCAAAAGTATTTGGTACAAGCATTGCACCCGGATTATCAGATGGATGTATATACAATGGACTGGACGAATCAATTGGGGCATCAGTAGTATTAGTAGCAATATTGGTAGTATCATTAGTCATCGTCAATAATTATCAATTCGTAAAGAGTAAGAGGAATAGGGAAAGAGAAAACAACAGAGGATTGAGAAGCTTGAGTTTTCAATCGAGATGAACAAACTCACACAACAACAGATCGATAATACATGAGGAATTGATTGCGGGGAAATCGACCTGATGCTCTGATACCATGTCAAACTTTGAAATTGGATGATCAAGCTTTATCGAGAGCTTGAGATTCATCCATGGTTGTTTCTCTTCTGTTGTTGCATTAGGAACGAAGAAGAGAGAAAAAGGAACTGTAAAGCATTGTTTGTGAGAATGTAAAAACTAATTCATTCCATCTGTAAGTGTACATTTATAGTAGATGAGTGGAAAATATCTAACAAACTATTGTGACTAATCTACAGCTGTCAATTAACTAACTAAGTAACCGACTTAATCAAACCGTAAGCTAGACTAATGCACTGTACAACATAAATATACAACACACTACATATTACATATCTCAATATGATGTATATGATATATATCATGTGGATATTATAGATGACTGGACAATCATTTTATGAATGAATACCATATGTGTATACGATATATACCATGTGAGATATCATAGAAAATTGAGTATTGTTTTTTTTGAAGGAATGCATATGACACATGATGTACTTTGTCAATATAATGATGTATCTTGTCTATATATGATATACTATGTGGTTTTCACCGAGTAGTAGTATTTTTTTTTTGAAGAAATAAACCATTTTCTTATGATATTATGTTAATATACTAAGGGGAAATGGTTTGATATACTCCTCAACTTTGCTATTTAAAGCTGATATATTCCTCGATATGAAAGTGGCTCATATATACTCCTATGCAGGGGCGGAGCCAGCATATTATTAGGGGGTTCATCTGAACCTCCTTCGGCGGAAAATATTACTATTTATACATGGTTAAAATTATTTTTTATGTATATATCGTATATGTCGAACCCCGGCCAAGTTCTTGTGTTTACTTCTTCAGTTTTTGAAACCCCTTGTTAAAAATCCTAGCTCTGCCACTGCTCATATGGTTATACAAATGACTCACATATACTCTTTTCCTCTAATGGAAGAAACAAATTAATTTTAAATTAATTTTCTTTGAAAAAATATAATTCCATATGGGGGTATATATATTTGATCCCCTCATACTTATTTTTTTTCACTTTTTGTTTTAATGATTAATTTAAATTTATTATTTTGATGGTCAAATTTATTTATGTTCACTAAATTTCTTGTAAAATTTATTATAGATGTCCCAATTTTTTTTTTTACAAATACAAAAACTAAAATACAATATAGCCACCAAAAAATAGTTTTAAATTATAATATAATCACAAAAAATTAGTTTGAGTTTTTTTTCTTTACACTAAATAATGGGGGGTGGGGGGAGGGGGGGGGAAGTAAGAAACTCAAATAATGATAATCAAAGAAGTCAAAAAATAATTTATGTATGAAAATGATTAAAATATACCTTGAACTTTGCTAGAAGGATCATATATATACCCCTACATGATTTGTTTTTTTAAAAAAAAAAAAAAAAGATGAAGGGTATATGTGAGTGACTTTTGTAACATTAGGGGTATATATGAACCATTTGTACAACGGAAAGGATATATATAAGCTACTTTCATATACTATATGCTAGAATAAGTTGGTTTTTGAGATACAAAAAATAAAAAAGGAGAAAGAAGCTCAAAATACTAAAGAGAACGGAAATGTTGATGTCAAAAGAATAATAACATACTCTGTGTAATTCCACAAGTAGTATTTAAAGAGGATATATGATGTACGCATACATTATTCTTATCGCGTGAGATAGAAAAGTTATTTTTAATAGACTCAAAAAATGTAATCAAAACATGCTTCTAAAGAAAAATAACAACATCACAATATATATATTACATAATACATAGAGCAAATGAAGCAACATGATGATGATAGTAAAAAAATAAAGAATAAGATATATACTATGCTTCCTAAATACGAAGAAGAGGAAATTGACCCTTACACAATACTCGAAAACAAAAGAAAAAAACCCTCAGTGCACAAATACTTCATTAATTATCATTGATCTCTTATAAAATATAAGATTATTATAATTAGATGACAAGTGATTATTAAAACTTTAAAAAGTACAAGCATATATTCATAGGGCTAAGGGTACCCTAGTCATTTCTTTTAATCAAAGAGACTAACATTTGTGAAAATATTCTTCTCTTTGGCCATAATATTTGCATAAATGTCTTTGCACTTATTAAACACAACATCCATCAATTTATCATCATCACCAAAATGCCTAACAAGTAAAGGTTGACCAACAGCTCTTACACCCTGTGCCTCATTGTAACCTTCACAACTAGAATCCATATGATGTTCTAAAGTTTTCAACAGATCAATGGTGAAAGATCCCTCCTTCTCAACTATATACTTTATTTCTGCAGGAGATGGACAATACAACGGAACATTGAATGAATTCACTTTCTCTTCTTCTATCAATCCCTGTATTTAATTTATAGTCGTAGAAATGTCATGACATATGTTCAAAATTTCAACATGAGTACTAATTTGGTTTTACGTACCTCTGTAACCCAAGTCTTTGAGCGCGATGGCCAAAGGCTCCAACATAAAGCGACACACATTGCTTAAGTGATGCTCATTTTCTCTATCAGGCATGGTTAATACGATGCGCCCACCTTCCACCAATTCTTCTGAGCGATACTTGAGAAAAGTAGCAAAATCTCTTTCATATTGCTTGGAATATGCTTTGAGGACGCTTGATGGGCTTGTACTTGCTGCATAAATAGTTCCTTTGTTATTCTCAATTCCATCAGGCACCTATATATCATCCAAAACGTACCTAAAGTCAGCTACCTGAAATAAGTATTATATCATTTTCTTTCTAAATTAAATACGATAACAACATATATATATATAAATACCTAACATCAGTCTAATTTCACAAGTGAAATATGAGGAGTGAGCTCGATAAATAAAAATGCATTTAGTGCTTGATATTTAAACTTGGAATCTCAGTTACTTTATATATATATATATATATATATATAATGTAATTAAAAATCTATACATGTGTGTGCATGAAACTTACCTAGGTGTGGCAATTGGGTGGGCTGGGTTAAATTTTGGCGAGTTATAATAGGTTAAGACAATAATTATGTCAAGACCCAACCCAACCCAAATTTGCTTGGGTCAAAATGAGTTAGGTAACGGGTTATATAAAAGGGTCAAGACCCAACTCAATCCAATTTTTACTAATCTTAATTGTTTTATTTGTTCTTTTAAACTATTTTAGTACCTAATAAAATTATTATTTTTATTATAACTATATATAACATATCCAATTGAAAAAAAAAAGTCTTTTAGAAATATTTTGACAAGATTTGTCATAAGCCAATTCGGGTTACATATCAACCCATTTTTAATGGGTTGGATTGAAATGGGCGGGTCAATAACCAACCCAAACTTAACCAGGTTGAGTTTGATTTTGTCACCCGTAAGCATACCTGGGAAAGCCAGTGAAGACTGTAAGAAGAGTGGACAAAATGTAGTTTTTTGGAAGGAAAAAGTCTAGTATAGAATGAACCAGCAACTCCTGCAACAAAGCAATTTGGAGGATCAAATAATAATCCATATTCTGTTTTTTCAAATCTTCGTGGAATGTTGGCAACAATCGAAAAATGGTATTAAAATCATTGCCAGGAAGATCATTCAAGAAAACATGAAATTCGGGGAATTGTTGGCCATTGCTTGTACAATTCTTCTCGAATAGTTTGAATGAGTTGGGAAACTGGCAAGAAAGTGTTAGGTCCAGAGGAACAACCTAACTCCGCAATACATATGGTTTCTCTTGTTGAAAGGCTGCGGTACAAAGAAGATATAACTTCGTCTGTTATTGACTTTGTCATGAGGATCACCTTTTGCTGGACATATATATATATATATATATAATTCAAAGGTAAATTATCAAAATTTGAATATTTTTTTTAATTCTACTGCGATTCATTTGATTTACGAAAATTAAAAAAGTTGTGTGATGATACCTGAAACAGAGAATTTTTTGCATAGCTAGAGTCTCCAATTCCTTCAGTCATGTGAAGAACATTAGCAACTTCCATTTTTTTCTTCTCTTGGATTTCTCTGTGGATAGGAGTTCAATATGTGTGTTTGGTATATAGGATGTAATGTGGCGCTTTGTTATTTTGATTTTGATTTTGATTTTGTAGGTTCATATCATGATTTTAGGAAGTTATTTTTCTTCCTTTTGTCAGAGATTTCTAATGTAATAAATACAAAAGATTTGATAGCTCTAAAAATTGAGATTTTGCGGGCCGTAAAAATTGACAAGTACATTTCATCCCTATAAATTTGAATTACACCAAACTTTTTTATTGGTGGTTCAAAATTACATCAAACTAAGTAGGCGTTTGAATGCGGTACCATATCACGATATAAAATTGTGAGATGAAATCAACATTTAGACATGCGATTTCACGCTGATTTCATATCATGAGATGAAATCTCATATTCTTCAAAAATCATGATTTGGGAATTCCATATCATGATTTGAGATTTTTTAAACACGAAAATTGACCTACAAGTTTATATTTTGTTAAAACAACCCCACATTTATATCTATTAGTCATTTATTTCATATGTAAATAAAATTTATAATCATATCATTACTTTTTAAAATTTATTATTTTCACCAACATAAAATTTATTATTACTTTAAATCCATTCCCACTTTATCATTTATATACATCAAATTCATTATTTTTTAATCAAATTTATTACTATTACTCTAATGTTTAACTAAAATATATTTTTTCATCTATATACTCACCACAATGATTTTGTAATAATTTATTATGCGATTTTATAAATCTTTGTTAATTCGTAAGATTGAATAAATAATTTGGATTATTTTAATAGTTTTACAGCTTGTGTGATTCTTATGTTTATGAGAAAATATACAACATAAAATTTCAAATCGCGTGTCCAAATAAAAATTACAATTCCATCTCATGATTTTATATCGCATGACTAAAATTACACACGCCAAAATACAAGGACAAGTGGAGCTCTGTTTCCACATATATAAATTGAAAAAACTAACTAAAGAGAGAAAATTGTTGGCAGTTTTTGCCTTCAAAATAATATCCGTCTTAACTTATAGGATATCTCTAATATGAACACCATTCCACGCCTTGTAATTCCATCCCCATTCTCTTTTTTGCTACCCCTAATATTGTTGTTTTTTTTAAGAAAATGTTTTTTAATATTTTAATGTGTATAGTTTATCAATATGAAAAACACAATAAATATGCAATTCAAAATGGAAATTATAATTAGGTATTATATTAATAAAATATTAGAGACTTTTAATTTAAATAAAAAAAATATAATAATTTGATAAAAATTACAATATTTGAATAAATAAATATTTTTTAAGTATGATAAAAACATTTAATTTGAACTATTAGACTACAAACAAAATTTATATCAATAAAAAGTTTTTTAAAACTAAACATCATAGATCTTTTTTTTTTTTTTAAATCTAGAAATAAGAATACAACTTTTATCTAAAATATGACTCCATTACAAAAATTAATTTGTCTTAAAAGATATAAAAAATAAAAAAATAAGCTTAAACACTAATTATTATTTTTTCTGTTGAAGTAATCAACATGATCTGATGGTTTTACAGTCATAGGGGTGAATAGTGCCCCAGTACTCCTCCAAGCTTTTTCACCAAAGGTGAGTGCGCTTGGGACATCTATTGTCCCTATATAAGGAGAACTTTCGTCCGAACGCAGGATTAGTTTGCGAAAGATTTGACTAGATGAAATTCAATGAAATTGATTGCTTAAAGTCAAACCCTAATAAAATGTTAAACATATTCAATAAAACTAGCTTATGGGTGTGTCACATGTGCATCTCTTTTCAATAATTTTTATCTTAAAAAATCACACATGTATCAAATGAAATTAATTGGTGGCTTAAAGTCAAACATTAATAAAGAGTTTTAAGAATATTCAATAAAACTAGTTTTTGGGCGCATCATACGTGTATCTCATGTGCATTATGTGTATTACACGTGTATTTTTTATCAATTAAAAACTTTATTATAAAAGCTACATATATACTAGGGGTGGGCGTTCGGTTCTTCGGTTCGGTTTAATCAAATTTCGGTTCGGTTCTTCGGTATTCGGTTTTAGAAAAGTGTGCACCATAGTTCATACCAAACTAGATCGGTTCGGTTCGGTTTTTTCTACTTCGGTTCGATTTAGTTCGATGTTTTTAAATCGGTTTTTCGGTGTGAATAAAAATAAAGAGGGAATATGATAAAGTGTTAATAGTTTTTCAATATGATAAATTGTTTCTAGCATAGATGCCATGTTGCTGCTCCAGCGGCCAGCCAACAATATGTGACAGAATCAGCCATCAGGCAATTAACAAACATTCAAAACATGAGGCTGATCAGGTCTACAAAGACTTGTCCAGTGTCCACACATTTTTTTTTTTAAAAACACAACACCATCAAACAACACTATCTCTTTGGATACACGATTCAAATTTCAACACATTCAAAACATGAGACTGAGCACATCCAGTTAACATCCAACAAAATAACATCAATGCAACATAATAAATTTATGTAGCTGCTCCAGTGGCCTGCCAACAAAATAACATCAATGCAACAAAATAAATCTGTGTAGCTACTTCAGCGGCCAGCCAACAAAATAACATCAATGCAAATTTTGTGTAGTTGTTGCCTGCTAACATCAAGGCTCCAGCCAAAAGGCAACAACTATTTTTTTTACAAGCAGAGTAGCAATAGCAGACAACACTACCAGACTTTCCAAATGTTTCTAAAACATAAGTCACAAAACTTAAAACACCACAAAACAATAAACACAGTCACAAGTCACAACACCCTTCTTTGTTGTCTTGAACCACCACACAATGTTTTCAAAATCAAAACAAATGAGCGAGCTTTAGAAGATATGGTTGAACTTGAACCTAATAAAAAAATTAAACCAAAAGGAAGAAACTTAGTTATAAGTCAGAATATTTTAAGATACAAAAAGATATTTTATATCAAACAAATAAAGTATTGAAACTCACCATTAATAGCAAAAGAGCAAATTGTTATCATACGTCAACAATGCAAGAATCCCTTCCACTGTTTGCCATTTCTAAAGATAATTTAAACAAATGTCAAGCAACATAAATAAGTAGATTAGTTTTACAACACACAAACAATATGAAAACTCACCAAGTTCAAGTTTCTCAAGATATTCCAAACTTTCTTCCACACAAATAGAATTAGGCTATTTTCTAAGCCAATCTTGAGCACAAACAAGAGATTGCACACATTTAGGAGTCAAAGAACTTCTGAATCGATCAAGAATACGCCCACCGGTACTAAATGCACATTCCGATGCGACACTTGAAATTGGAATAGCCAATACATCACGAGCTAACTCTGAAAGAATAGGAAATCTTAGAGCATTAACTTTCCACCAACTTAAGACATCAAAATCATCATGTTCAGGTTCTTGATCTTCTTTAAGGTATCTCTCCAACTCTGACTTAGCAGCCCCACTTCCACTATTTTCCTTTTGTTTCTTCATGTGAAGCTTAGTTCTCAAAGCTTTTGTTCTCGAATTTTGAGAACAAGAGCTAGATGAATCAGATAAATCCGATAAAGTAGATCTAGATGGAGATGATTGATATTGAGATTCTTTTGAATATTTTCTTAAATAATCTTCAAACAAAGTTTCCATATAAGCCTTCACTTGTTTATCTACTTTCTTTCCGTTTTCCTCCCCAAATAGTTCTTCAAGTCCAAAGCTAACATACACAAATTTATTGCGAGGATCTAACACAGAAGCAATATAAATCATTGAGTTCATCTTATCAGGAGTGCCCCAATATTTCTTGAACTTCTTTATCATCCCATCAGCCATATTTTTCAAATTAAGATCTTCACTTGTAAGACACAGTTTTAAGTATACATCAAGCTCACATATATCCTCAAAAATGAACACTAGATGTAACATAATGTGAACCTGAAACCTTTATTGTAAGCTCATAAAATTTTTCAAGAAATTTTACTACACTTCTCACATTTGCCCAATCATCACATGCAAGTGTACCAGCAATACTTCCATCTTCACAAATATGAGTAGATAGATAAGTTTTAAAATGTTCATCAAAAAGATCAAACCTATCAAAGGCCTTTTCAAAGTTTTGTGCCGCTTCCAACATCAAGTAGGTAGAATTCCACCTAGTAGGCACATCTAGCGACAATGTTTTACTACAATCTATCTTTTGGACTTCACAACATTTCACAAAGTTTCTTGTTCTTGCCGGAGATGATCTAACATACCTCACCATTTGCCTAACCCGTTTGACAGAAATATCAATTTCCTTCAAACCTTCTTGCACAATTAGGTTAAGTATGTGAGCCATACATCTCATATGAAGATGCTTGCCCTCCATTATGTTCGTTCCCCACATATCTAACTGCTTAGATAATTCTGTAATCATAACACTATTTGAAGAAGCATTGTCAACGGTAACAGAAAACACATTATCCAAGTTCCAATCAAGCAAGCAATTGCCAATAGCCTCTGCCATTTGTTCACCCTTATGACTAGAGATGGGGCAAAAATTTAGTATTCTCTTATGCAACACCCAATTTCTGTCAATGAAATGAGCAGTCAAACACATGTAATTTATTCTTTGCAATGAGGTCCATGTATCAGTGGTGAGGCAAATCTTTGGTTGTATTTCTCTAAAAGACTTCTTCAGATTGTATCTTAGTTCACTATAAAGTGTATAGCAATCCCTTGTTATTGTTCTACGAGAAGGAATTCTAAATAGAGGTTGGGCTTGACTCATAAACTTTTTAAAACCTTCCTTTTCTACAAAACCAAAAGGTAGTTCATCCATAATTATCATTTCAACTAAAGCCTTCCTAACTACTTCTTGTTCAAATTTCCAAAGTGGTGCACGTGCATTAGTAGACGAGAAATTTATCTTAGATTGAGAAGTAGTTTCAATAATAGACTTATAAATAGAGCACCTTGCTAAGTGTTGGTTCAATGCAGTTGTACCATTAATGGAAGTATAGGTATGAAATTGGTGACAATACCTGCACTTCGCTCCACACATACCATTCTCAACAACCTTATCAAAATGATTCCAAACTTTGGATCTTGGTGCTATTTCTTTTCTTTTCTTTTTAGGTTGGGTGCCAACACTGCCACTATCAAGTGAGTTATTGTCATTGCTATCATTGTTATTATTAGGTAAGTCATCACTTGAACCACCAACACCAATTCTATTGTCATTCTCCATCTGCAAAAAAAAAAAAAACTAAAGTAGTGAGCAAAAGAAAGATTCAGTTGCTGCTGCCTGCTGCACTTTCTCCAAAACCCAATTCCCCTTTCATTCAAGATTCAGTTTTTCACAACACATAAGAAGTTTTGGCATCGAAAATAGCTCCAATTTTGCAATCTTGCACAAATTCTACAAAAAATATTGGTTCTGTTCTTCGTAAAGGGCAGCAAGTTCATGCCCAAGTAACTATAAATGAAATCAACAATGATGGTCCAAGAAATACGTACCATTTTTCGGCGTCGGCCGTCGGCGATGGTCTAAGGCGAGAAGAGTGAAGACTGAAAACTGCTCACTGAAGTCACGGGACACGGCGCCGGCGGTCGGCACTTCTCAGTTGATGAGTTGAATTGAACTTTTGTTTAGTTTTTAGACTTTGGGGCTTTAGGGTTCATTTTAATCTTTATTGTGTTTTATGACTTTGTCATATAAAAATTGAAATGGGTCACATGACTCACATTATTAACTAATTAAGTAATATAATTTAAATATTTTAAAATTTATTTAATAAAACTTCGGTTCTTCGGTGCACCGTAGTTTTGGGACCCTTGCACCGAACTCCGAACCGAAGAACCGAACTTCCAAAAATAAAGAACCGACACCGAACCGAAACACCGAAGAACCGACACCGAAGAACCGAAATAATTCGGTTCGGTTCGATTTTTTGATATTTATGCCCACCCCTAATATATACTACCTCAAAGAAACTTCAAACCTATTATTCTGGATAACCTTGGTACATTGGCTTCCCTGACAGCTATTCTAGAAGCATTTAGAAGAGTCACAAGACAATGTCTTTTAGGTGGAAGATTTTAAAGAATTGAATATAAAGAGATATTGTGAGTAGCATTATACACCTGACTGACATTATATCCCGTTAATATGACTTTTGAAATCAGTCACTGCGAGTTGAAACTTTGGTGGGGGTAGCCAACAAAAAAAATTATCAAGTAATTATCAAGAGAGTACCAACCAGTGGAAAGTGAAGCATGAGACCTCTTAGAAGTAGGATGGATTAGCTAAATGTCAAATCTATAAGGCTTTACTAAAATCGACTTTGCTTCAGCTTCCGATAAAAATGAGGTTTGGATGAAAGTGATTGCTAAGGAAAAAGCAACTAGGAGAGTGAGAAAAAAGATGGACATGTTTAATTCTTTGGATAAGAATAAGAACAAGGATATGATGCTTATTATTGTGAATACGAATAAGGATATAATCAAAAGTGTATTAAAAATATATATAGGAAGAGGATATATATGTCAGACATTAATTAAGTCAACTTTGAGTAAATGATTTATTGATAATTTATAAAAATGAACTGCATCATACATAAATTTGTCTTTTCCTCTCGAGAAATAGTTGGAGAATTACAAAAAAAAAGTTGAATATTTTACCACCAACCGATATCCCCATGAGGGTTAAGAGGTAGAAAGATTAAGACTAATCAAACTAATAGGGGTTAATAGTTCCCAGTACTCCCCCAAGCATTTTCACCAAATGTGAGTGTGCTTGAGACAACTTACTGTGCCAAAGGCACAAAGCAATAGAAGAATTGTTTTCCAAAGGTAGGACTAATTTGCGAAATTAAGGATATCGGAGAAATGACAAGGCCCATTATGTCGTTTATCATTTGGTTAGTATTGTCAAGTTTGAATCTATGAGTACATCCAAAGAAAATATACGAAAAAGAAATTTCTTAAACTCATTGTGAAGAGTAGAAAGTATACATTTCCATAGCTAAATCACCATACGAGTAACTTTGATAAAAATAACTCATGACATAGGTACATTGGCTTCTCTGACATTTATTTTGCAAGCATTTAGGAGAGTCACAAGGCAGTGCCTTATATGTAGAGGAGTTTAAAGAGTTAAATATAGGAAGATGTTAGGAGTAGCACTGGACACATGACTCGCATTGTATCCCGTGGATGTAACTTCCAGAATCAGACATAGTGAGTTGAAACTTTGGTGGGGTTCCAACTGAAAGATTTATTAAGTAACTGCCAAGAAGATCCAGAACCAATTTAGTGGAAAGGGAAGCAATAAAACTCTTAGAAGTAGGGTGAATAACCTCAATACAAAATCCACCATACTTTTCTTCCGCTTTCGATAAAAGTGAGGTTTGGGTGAGGGTGATTGCTAAGGAAAAAGCAATCAAGAGAGTGAACGAGAAGATGGTCATGTTTAATTGTTTGGAGGAGAATAAGAATAAAAGTAAGGATATAATGCTTAGCTTTTTGAATAAGAATAAGGATTTAATCAAAGCAAAGTGTTATAAAAGGAGGATATATTCACAAAGCTAAGCACTATATCCTTGTTCTTATTCTTCTCCAAACAATTAAACATGATATATTCAATCAAACTAGTTTTTGTGTGCGTTGTACGTGCATATCGTGTGCATTATGTGCATTACACGTGCATCTCTAGTCAACTAATAATTTTATTTCTAAAAATCACATATATACTTAAAAACTATGTATACTGACGGCAAAGTATAGGACAGTTCTGGCAGCGTGGGCAAGACGTTGTATCACCACTTAGACTCATAGTGGTGGTTGTCGGTTAGAGAATCTCTCACAAAAACTATATTATTTTATTATATGAGTAAAGTTAGTTTGTTACTGCATTTCCTTTAATGAACTAAGTTGCTTTTACTATTTTATAAAGCTTTTTCATATGTTGTATGTGTTCATTACTTTATTCTAAGTTAAGTTATTCATGAGTTGAGAAGAGCCAATATAAGTGTTTCTTTCAGAATCTTTTCAAGCATATGTATTGTTTAGCACTCCAACTCGCATGCTCGTACATTCAATGTACTGATGCCAGTTGGCCTGCATCATCTTATGATGCAGACGCAGGTAACCAAGATTAGCATCCAGCGTCTCATTGATCCAGCTTGAGCATTCAGAGTCTGTTGGTGAGCCTCCTTACATTCCGGAGGACTCTTTTATTTGCTTTCTAGTCTTTCAGATGTTAGGATGATCGGGGGTCCTTTCCCGACATCCCTCTCTGTTTTAGAGGCTTCATAGACAGTTAGTAGTTCAGTTGTCTTTACATCATCATTCAGATGTTGTTTAAAAACTGAGTTGTCATTTTGGCTAAACTATTATTTCTTAAGTTATGCATGAATTATATTTTCTTATGTTTAAGTCTTCCGCTGAGTTAAGTAATCCAGGCCAAGGGTTCGCTTGGGGCCAGCAATGGTCTTCGAGTACCAGTCCCGCCCAGGGTGTAGGCTCGGGGAGTGACATTTGTTGTTACGTAATCTTGTATGTAAGATAATATAGTGTTTAGTTTTAATGACTGATAGGTTTTAAGTATTATTTTATAAATTCTGTGATGTTAAATTCCCGTGTGAAGAGTTGCGACTTTTATGAAGAGTTGCAACTTTTATCAAAGTTTTCGACTTTTATGAAAATTTGCGACTTTTATGAAAGGTTGTGACCTTTACGATAAGACACAATAAATATTTGTTCACACTACCTTTGTCTATAAATAGAGAAATTTCCTCTCATTTTAAAACAACGATAATTTTGAACTTATTCTTCTTCATCTTGACAGTTAAATAATTGTGTACTTTGCTCTTGTTGAATGACTCACTGACACTATTTTTTGTATCAATACACTGGTGAATAAAATCGTTCTTTCTTAAGAGGACCTATTCCTTTAAATCTCGGGTACTAGGGGGAATAATTTCCTTAAGGGGACTGTGCATTCAGTGAGCTTGATTTTTTCCATTTTGTTTCATTCTATTGTTATAAATCCTAGTATGTTTTTACAGTCATTAATTTATGCTTATATTATTAATTGTTATTTTTGAGTACATGCTTTAAATTTTGTTGTTTATGTTTCTGCAATATTATTGTTATAAGTATTTGTTAGTACATATTAAATAAAAAACATTAAGTGAGTATTCAAGCAAGTTTTCTCTACTGGAATTGTTGAAGGTACAATAAAAAAAATCCTTACAAATGTCTAATTTGTTCATCAGCAACGTCATTTCTTCACATACAAGGATGATATTTTGTGTTCTTTAGAAAATCCTCGGAGAGTTAATAACTTTGCATGCCCATATTTTTTTGTTTTTATGTTGTTGTTATCTATTTTTACTAAATTTTATCACTGGATATTATGAGTACTTTAAGGATTGAAAATTGATTGAAGTGTTAGTCAATTTTTTTAGGTATGTTATTTTAAAACATGAGAACTTTTCTGGTTAGAATGATTTGTTATCATCATTGAATATCTCATAGTTTACTCCATTTAATGTATGTTTTTTCTCGCTGTTTTGGTTGTCTCCTTAAAATTGTATTGATTATTTTCGTTTGGTATGTATATGATCTCACTTGGACAAAGCTTTCGTCCTTTTAATGTTCTTCTCTTTTTCCTTCTCATTAAGCTCTACTAAATATTTTTGGTGTGAGTTATGACTATTTTTAGCAAGCTTAATTTGAAGAATATGAAACAAAACTTGATCTAAATAAAAGTAATAGCTTAAGCTACAAAAGATATGTCTATTAACATTGATTTGTTGTCCTTTATGTCCCAAGTCATTGCTGAGCATTTGAGTTATCTAGGTTAGACTCATTTTTAATTTTTTAATGTTCGAGAATATTTCTTTAACATGAGTTTCGAATCCAACATGTTGATCTACTTGTACTTTCATAATGCAACAACTATACATACATATTTTCTGAAAAAGTCTTAAAGTTGCATTGATGAAACATCTAGAAGGGCCTTCATAGCAACAATTTAATGAAGAATGAATTTCTAAAAGGGTCAACAATATTATTTTGCTGTTGTTTCAAATTTATTTTTCTCCTTCTATAAATTTTGTTAGAGTAACAAAGTAACAATAACGAAATGTGGTGAACATTTAACCTCAGACAAGTAGATTGTCTTTAAAAAAATTTATTTATATTGTTGTGGTGTACATTTTTAACGGTCTTAACTTATTTATAACTAATATTGATTATCGAAAACTTTTATATAATTTATTTTTAACAAGGAGTTATTCTAACAATAAAATTATCAGTTCTATATTTTTCATGTACAAAAAAATAGAAAAAAATATGTTTAATCGCTACATAAAAACATCACTCAGTTTTAACAAGACAATTATATCATCAAACATATATTATGATATTTTTAATCATTCATTATACATTTAAAATTCTTGAGATATATGATAATGTCAAATCATTTTATTTATGTTGAAATGTTCTTAAAACCTACTAAAATTTACTTTTGTTTATAACAGTCGATTATTAGAAAGGTTGTTCAAAAGCTTAGAAAGATTATTTATTCCCGCGCGAAGCGCGGGTAAATTACCTAGTAAGAGCATAAAATAAAATTAATTATTAAATAAAAATTGAGATATAATTTGACAATCGACCCTTTTTCTCAAAAATTATAAAAAGAAAACTAAGGGGTCAAAGCCCTAAAAGAGAAAACCTCATGGGAAGAAAAGAAAAATTATAGTAACTTACAAAAACTTAAGACCCAATTAAAGCCGCTCCATAGAGCATAAAAAGTGAAACATTTTCAAGATTGAACCAAGAATTAGACAGTTCAGTTGCAGATACTTTTACAAGTAAGCCTAATTTCTCTCGATGTTATTTGCCTAATTTTTTTAATTTTTTCTGTTATTACTTTTAGGTTACTTGGCAGTGTATGGTGTTCTGGTTTTTTGAATTGGCAGTGGGTATATGATCTTGTATTTGTATTTGGGCTGCTTTCTGTTGATATAGTAAGTTAAGATGAGGAATGCCAAACACTGAGATTAAAGTGAAAAATGCCAAAGGGGTAAATTTTTATGGATGGGAAGCGAAAATCTTTACTTAAAGAAGTTAGTGGAAGGAGGGTGTGTGTTAGATGGTGTTGTAGACTTGTAGCTTAAAAAGCTAATTGTGTTCTTCATGCAATTCTCGCATAAAACATTGTGTTCGCTATGGAGGATTGGTCAAACTTTCGGAAAAATATTTTCTTTAGGAAAATAAGTTGGGATAACAAGTTGTACAAGTATCCTCCAACACACCTCATCTTCACCCTCATCCCCACTTTTCATAGTATTTGTTTAGATTATATATAAATGATTTTTGGATAATATTTTTTGCATTAAGAAAATAAGTAAAAAACCCACTTATTTTTGTGGAGAACATTTTCTAATAATACATTTTCCTTCATAGAGAACACACCCTAAAACTGAAGTGGTTAATTCTTGCCGAATATTATGTTATTATCACATCGAGCGTTTTTTTATTCACCTGGGGCATTTCACTTTAGCTTATTATTTGACTCTTTTGGCTTTTGGAATTGCTTCCAGCTCCAAATGGGCAGACTGAGGTGGACAGGAGTTTCCCCAAAATCTATCATTCAAATTGTTTTGGTAATATTATTGAAAACTCCTGCAATGTTGTTCAATTTACAAGTTATATTTCAGAGAAGTGGTAATATTGTTCCTAAACTCTTTTTCTCCATTTCCAGTCACAGCACTCAGTTTCTGCAAATTCAATGATCAATAAAGGGAATGTGTGTTCACATGTTTCAGAATATCTACCTACATTACTTAAAAATCGATGTAAGAGGCTTACCTTGAACTGTAACTTGTGAGATTGAACTCTTTTCTATGTATCAAACTCTGCAATTCTAAGGATTTTTTGCCATGACTCATGAGCTACTTGTCATTAATTGAGCTCAACTTTGTGCCCTTAGTTGTTAGTTAGGTTAATTGGGCATCGGTTGTGGTGTGAGAAGGTACAAAAATTTAAACTTTACCTTCATTGAGTAGTGGTAACATAACGAGGTAATAATATCTCGGATTTGTTACAAGCTTCATTGATGTGGACAATTTACAGAAAGGTCAGGCTGGTCTAACTAATTTGTGTACATTAAACAGTCCTCCAAAAAGCAGTTTACCTAATTTGCCACCAATTATAGAAGAGGTGGCAGATACTTGTTACAGAATAGGTGGAAAACGTGTTTCTTAAAGCTTTTGTTTAATGGGCAAAGCCAGTGTAAGCAATTTCAGAAGGTGTATTAGGACCATATATTATCTCTGTCGCTTGAGAAGCAGGAGGAGGGGATAGATGCCAGGGTTGCATAGGGGTAAAATTGTTATCCTAAGACTATAAAGCAAAATCATGTCACCAGCTGTCGTGGTAGGTGCATAGTCACCTAGACAGAATAGAGGGATTTCACAACCTGCAATTATGGCTGATGCACTGGCTTAGTGCATAAATTTATAAAATCATAAATTAATTATTAAAAAGAGTTCCATGCTAAGGATAAAACCATACCACTGCATTAGTTAATGTACTTCCTCTGTTCAATTTTAAAAATAACAGTTTCAAAAATTTACTTTCTCTGTTTTGTGATGTAATCATCTGTTTCTTTGCCTATCCAACTAGTCTCAATATAACCATACCACGTCTATGTTGCATATTTTACTGGTAACC